CGAGTCGGGAGGTCTAGTCATTGTCTGGCATACACTTACCGCATTTTCGCGTCGATCGTAAATGGGCATCGATACGGTGGTCATGAATTGATAGACATTTGAGTCCACGGGCTGGTTCCACGTCTGTCGCCACAAGAGAGAACAAGAGAGAAAGAGAGATGAAAAAGAGATAGTATCGTAACTTTAAACTAGAGAGAACTTATATCTAGTACGAGTATATGATGTGACAACTCACTTCCTTTATGCGCCGATACTCGCGTCTGTTCATCTCGCTGGGCTCCAGCATCCGGTCGTGCACCTGCCAATATTCAAGGACGTCTGCCTTCTGCTCCTCGCACTGCTTGATCTCCCACAGATGGTCGGAGAGTTTCGTATCCTAGATGTGCATAGATCAAACGAGTTTTTTTTGTTTGGAAATTTTCGTTCTCGGTTCCCCCTAACACACACACACACACACACACACACACAATATGTTGCAATTACCCACCTCAATATCAGCATAGACCTGGGTCCAAATCACCGGATGATCGTGCCTACCCAAAACGAGTGGCCTGGCCATAACCGGTATATAGTTTAGGACCATCTCACGCACCTCAGCGGTGTCGCTGAGATGCACATAATAGCCCTGATTCTCGCATGCCATCCACCGTATATCATCCCAATTAGCCACCTCTTTGCCAATCAGATAGGTAAAAATCCGCACTGGCTTATAGGGCGGATCCCGCCAATTGTGCATCTCGAAGACCTCGCGATTATTCTCCGGCGCCCCATCCCCAATGATCATGATCGCCTGATTGCATTGTGCACCGCGCGACGACGACTTCGCCTCTTCCAATATCTCGAATGCTCTTGTCAATGCAGCGGTATAATTGGCGATCGATTTGGGTCCAAAGTTTTCAATCCCTTCTTTCAGTTCACGAATGTTGCCCAAAGTTGCCTGGATGGATTTCGAAATATACGTTGTGGTTGGTGTATATCGAATATGGGTATGGATTGGGGGGTTTATGTGTTATGATTGCATGGTTTTATGGATTCGGATTGTTGTTGGGAGAAAATCAATTGAAATTGAATTGAAATTATGTAATGGTGAAATCAATCAATAATCGAAAAATCAGGCCGAAATAAATATAGTGTCTGTGTGTAAGAAAGAGTATTGGAATGATATATACTTGAATCAGTGTATCCTCGAAACATCCGACAACTGGGTTCACTTCCTTATCAAAGGTGAAGATGTTCACAAAGTCATTTGTACCTAATGTATCGAGTATCGTATTGACAACATGCTTTGCGATATCTAGCCTCTGTCCCAACATTGAACCGGATCCATCCATTAGGATGACAATATCCTTTGGACTTGTCGCCGCCTCCATATACCAGGAGCGTAACCGGCAATCGTATAGATCGACCGGTACGTCCTTTCTCCATTTGGATGCAGGGAATTGACGCATAAAGCCGGTCGAACTGCCAAAAAATTGCCACGATAATGTGGGATCATTTTTGTAATTATCGCGGAATATCTGATCCAAATTCTCCGACCATTGTATCGCCTTTATCACATCCGGTGCTGTGTTTAGTCGTTTTTCGTTTCATTTGTTATATTGGGCAAGTTTTTATGGCACAAGAGAAACGGAAAGAATTTGTATAGAAACAAAGATTAGTAATCCTTTAACGTAGTGTTAATTCGTTGTGTTGTCTCTTCGGGCAGGACATAGCACAGGAAAGCGCAGGCACAGACAGGTAAGACAGGTGTGTTCTTTTTGTTTTTAATTGTTTGTTTGGTGTGCTTGGACTCTCCGTGTTATGTGGCTTTGGGTTGGGTGTTATACGGTTTCTGGCATTATGTTTTATTATTATTATTAGTAGAAGTATTGAGCGTTTTGGCGAATCCGGCCATCGAGCGATTCTCTGCGTCCCACGCGTGCGAGTCGGCAACGTACGCAATGCGCCACCAACGGCGATCGAGTACAGTTACAGTTGAGCCAACTGTTTGTTTCTTTGTTTGTTTGTTGGTTGTGTTGCATTAGGTACAGTTTTGTGTGTTGCCGGGCGGCGCAATGCGGTGCTTGCTGCGCGCACGCGTACGGCGCGCATTGACTTAAGCGATTTGTATATTGAAAAGGAAAAAGTAGGCGCATGAGCGGTTAAACGGTTAAGGCAAGCAAGCGTAGAGCGACAGAGAGAGAGAGAAAGAGAGCTGCGAGCGAAAGCCCATAGAGTGTTTTGGATAAGCTTTGCTTTTCATGCGCGTGTTTCGGGTTTGAAAGCTTGACAAAAGACAATTGGCACAGGCAGAGCAGGGCAGGGCAGGGCACACGGTGTGCTCCAAAAAGTAAGGTTACAGTTACAGATATAGAGAGAGAGAGAGGCGTGGAGAGAGACGTGGAAAGAGAAGAGATACACGGATTATATCGTTATGAGCATAGTTCCAAACCTCGATCAAACACGTTCACGGGCACGTGCACCGAGCTAACACTAAAGTTGACCGGTGTATTGTGGAACTCCGGCCGCGGCTCCAGCACCACCACCTTGGGCTGCACATAGATCAGTGGCTCCCCAATGTCCTTGTCCATGTCGGGTGCAGGCGTTGGAATCGGTGGCACGGGATCGCCCGGCTCTAGCATCTCCTTGGCATTGTAATAGGAGAACATCTTATCCGCCATATCGTTCTGATGGGACAGAGCCGTGTTCTCAGCCGTGTCCATAATGCGCTAAAAAATAGTCCTTGGCTGTTGAATTGCTTGGGGGAATAGGACGGGGCACATCACTTACTCGCACAGCGCTGACCTTCAGATCCATCATCATTTCTATTTCCTTGGCCATCGAATCGACTATTGAGGCTCCAGTGCGCTGCACCACTTTGGCCTCCTTGAAACTCTGTGGGAATGTGAAAGGTGAAAAAATCGACCATAGAAATGTGCCCGAAATGCGTCAACTGGTCTCTGAAATCCCACCCGGACCATGAGCATTACGAGGCCCCCCAAGAGTAAGGGCCATCTGTTCGAGCTTAAGTACTTATTTACACATACTCGCATGCACATACATACATACATATGTACATATATAAACAGTTGGCGGCTCAAATGAGCTTGTTACTCAAGTGCAACAAAGTTTCATTTGTATATCCAATTGCTTTTGCCTAAAAATAAAATACCAGCTGTCCCGACCAGCGTCAGATACTGACCTCATACGGCTGGGGGGGCAGACACAATGGCGGACAAATATTCTTTTGGAATGGAATACCCTTTCAAAGGGTTATGGCATTCTGATGCCTGCTGGAAGCTCTAAGAAAAACAATCCGTCATTAAACTGTTTTCAACTTTTCTAAATCCTTTCTTGGGGCCTGTACATATTTCTAGCTTAGCTTTCAATTCTTAGTTCCACTTAAAAAGGGTATCTAAGCATCAACTTACTAACTCAAATGGTAGGAGCAGGCTTTTAATGTGACATATTTATAATGGAACAGAGAAATTGTCTAGGACATGCTATTAGCTTAATTATTCCATTTTAATTTAATTAACTAATATCTGCAATCCTATCCACTCAAAACCTTGGGTATTAAAGTTGTCTCCTACTGATCCACACTCTCCCCATCTTGTTTTTTTTTATTTTTCCAAGTAATACTTTATAATTACTGTGTTCGGGGGGTCAGCCTTTAACCCAAATACGAAGCCGAAGTTGGCGTCGCCGTCTCGGCAGAGGCTGAGAGACCTCAAGAACAACAATAACAGCACAAAAACAGAGAGCAGAGAACAGAGAACAGAGAACAGGGCATAGAGCATGTGGTAAACGGAGCGTAAAAACCAAGAGACGGCGGCGAGTGGGAAAAATCAATAAAATACTTGCTGGCACTCACCTCCTGTACCTCCTTGCGCCTGGTGATAAAATCGCCCAGATGAAACAGTTCCATGCCCAGTTTGTCGGCCCAGGAGTGAACGCTGCATGTGGTGGAGGGGGGAATGGGGATAGCGGTGAGATTTTCTATCTCTGATTTCTAGATGGGTGCCCACTCACAGATTGTAGTTGATGTTCTCGGCAGGCTGCAGATGGGCGCAGGGGGCATGCCAGAGGAGCATGGAAATGAGGCTCAGGCAGAGGCGCCAGCAGGGCCATGTCCAGGACCAGGCCATGTCTCTTCCTGCTGCTCCACTTGTACTGACTGCTGCTGCTGCTGATGCTTCGGCTCCTGCTCCTGCTCCTGCTGGCGGTGGTGCTTGAAGATCGAGCGGAAGCGCGACATAAATACGAGCCAGAACTTATTTTGTAGCCCACTTTTCAGCACTCACACACAGGCACCGCACACGCACACACAGGCACCGCACATGTCTCACACATACTCCGTTAGCCCGTTAGCTCGGCTCAGGCCACCTGTCCTGGCCATCCACACACATATCCTGCTCACTGTACACGTGCAACCACTTGAAATCGGAGTTCCCTAACTCAAACTAAAAACATTTTCCGACAAACGATTTCCCGACAACGATCTGCAGGCTATTTTTTCCCGAATTTTCTCAACGTGCCTGCACTGCAGTGCTGCTGTGTGTGTGCGTGAAAATTTCGTGTTGTTTGGCAGCGAAAACTTTTCTCTCTACACTGTCGTTCTGCCCGTTGTTCTGACGTTTCTTTTGACGTTTCTGTGTCAGCGATGAGTTCATCGCCTGCTGCCCATTAGCCAGAGCGAGACCACAGCCAGGTTTCAGCCTCAAGCGCTAGCCGCACTGCTCTGGGCCTCCACTGCGCCTGTCCTGACAGTTGACGCTTCGGCGCGGTAGCATTGTTTACCTCCTCGGGCGTCCCACAGGTGTCTGTTTACCCCGCGTGGCGACTGCGCCGTGGCTTTGTTGACAGGCGTGCCTGGACAGCTGACGGAACATCTGTTGCTGCCGCTGCCAGATGGTGACAGCACAGACTCTGCTTAGAAAAGCTTCCATTCACCAAAGAGCTTTCCAGCAAAGCTCAGGCAAGCTTCCAAAAATAGACGCCAGAGGTCGCTTTAGTTTATCAATACTTTTTATTGGTGCGGTACTCGTATATCGTAAAGTTTACACGTTTCTCAAGAAATCCACGCCACGCGCCCCACTCTTAGTACTTGTAACCACTGCCGCCGCCGCCGCCGGCACCGCGCGCTCCCGGCTGTGGTCCCTGCGGGAATGTGGCCTCCCCCTCGTAGCTGACGTCCGCGTGGTAGCCGGTCTTCCAGTCGGCAGTGTAGCGCACCACTTGTGTGCGTCCGTCGGGCATCTGCACGCGGTACTCGCCGGTCACCACATCACCATCGCTGGACGCCTTGTGCGCATAGTCATTGGCTGTCTCCGGATCCTGAACGGCGTACTCGAACTCGTAGGGCATGCCGGGCATATGCACGTGATCCTGCGTCAAAAATGGAAATGGTTCGTTATCGGGAGTGTTCATTATTTGGCGGCATGTTACTCACATCGCCTGGCTGGCCGGGAATGTTGCGGGGCTGGCCGGGAGGTGCTGGTGGACGAGGTCCAGGCGCTGGTCTGCCAGGTGGACCGGGTTTCTGTGGAATGTTGGACAAATTATGGATTACTTAAGGTAAGAAATAATGCCAAAAGTTGGTGGTCTTCTTGCGTAGTTCATTCAGCATTTGGTTCAATGATCAGGAAAGGTTAACTGCAAATCATTGTAGGCCCTTCACCATTTGAAAATGTTGCACAGCCACACAGCAAGTGCAACATCATTTTGGTTTGACTTGAATGTCGACCCATCAAAAGGTAAATGCCGGTGGATGAGGTGGCAACATTTATTAGGGCCCGATGCCGTCTGAATTTTGTATTGTACAGATTGCCAACCGCATCTGAAGTGATAGATGTGGCGACAAGCCAACAATGGGAGTGAAAGGGCCTGCTTTCAGACTTCGAGTCCTGTCCCAAAAGCCACCAGACTGATGGCTGCAATTAGCCTGTTGACTTGAATTCAATTTTGCAGTGGTTTGCCAGACAAAAGGTCTTCATGTGGCATGTACTCTTATATTTGCTTATATTTTTACTCACAAATGGGGTCTGCGGTTCGGAGTAGTCATAGCCATTCTTCGTGGGCGGCAGGTACGCATTGGAGCCTGGGGCAATCTGGGCGTAGGCATAGGCACTGATGGCAGCGAGGGATAAACTCTGAAAGGCAAAAAGAGGCGGTGTGCATTTAGTGCAACATTCTTACGGTGACGCGACGACTTAAAGGTTAAATGAAGAGTAAACCACAAAACAGAGCTCACAAAAGTGAGCGGTGGCAAATGGAAATAGAAGCTGCGATAAGATCGCGGCTGACATTCAGCCGGGGCCACAGTCACAGCCACAGCCAAAGCAGGTGCACCGCCAGCTCAATGACTGGGCTGCGATTTATTTAGAACGTGCCCCAGAGGCGTCTTCTGCCCGCGCAAAAGGGCAGCAAATGGCGGAGGTTATGCCGCAAGCGTCAGTGCAGTGGCCGTTCGGCTAAACACGGCTAATTGACACATGCACATGACGGCAGCAGCCCATCAACGCGCTCACATTGCAGCCATCCATCCCGTCCATCCCGTCCATCCATCCATCCATCAAGTGGTGGACAGCCCCACTGACCAAAAGCCACTTGTCTCTCGGCTACTACTGCCTGTCATCTAATGTCTGCTCTTGGCCATTTGTTTATTATTTGGTTTTGTTTTGTTTTTTTTATTGTGCAGCGGCTTTGCGGATTGCGGAAATATTTGAAGTCTCTTTGAGGGCACTAAATCACTCGGGGCTTGAATATATTCTGTATTCTATGATGACTTATGTACGGAGGCTTTGATAATAACCCCATGAGTATTGTCAAGTGGGAACTGCTTTACATTGTTTGCTGATTAGTTGCCTGTGGTTGCTGTGGCAGGGGCAATTGTTGCATCGCTTAATTGCACATACGACGACGTGTTGGTCGATCGTGTAATTTTAGCCACATGGGAAGCGATTGGGTCAAGGAAAGCGGGATTATTGCCAGAGGCGATGCGAGGCTTTCTCATATTTGTTTTTTTTTTCATTGATAGAAAATAACTTGAAATTGTTATAGCCATTGAGAGAAAATGTATTCATGAAAATATTCATAAATTTAATAGATATTTATCAAGTTTGCATAGATAACTCCTACCCCGGCTACAACTTTAACTTCATCTCCATCTACATATATTTATCTCTAGTAAATTATCTGTTAAATTGAAATTAATCAACTTCACCAAAAATGTTCGCAATTAGCCTAGCAGGGGGGTCCTAACCTTCAAGATCTTCAAGTACAGAGCACAGAGCCCAGAGCACAGAGCAATGCAATGCAGAAAATGCACGAGCAAAAGAGAGATCCAATGAGCATGTCAACGGTAATTTTCCGTGTTAAACAAATGCAATTACCGCCAGCCTGGCAACAGCATTAGCTTCAATAAACTAACGGCAAACGATTCGCGTGTAAATTAAATTGCAAATAATTTGCGGCAACTTGACGACAGCCCAAAAAGAAGAGCCCCAGAAGGAACTGCCAGTCGATGCCAGCAGAACGCAGCCAAAGTGCAACAATGGACCACAAGACAAAGATAAAGATGGAGTTGCTGGATGCAGTTTTTAGTTGCCAGACTGAGATGGAGATGGAGATTGGAGATTGGTGCTGAGGATAGCTACACACAGTGGTTAAAAGTTGATAGAAATGGATTATATATACATGGGGCATATGTACATAAGTATCTGCATGAACAAAGCTTAGAATAAGAACCGGATTTTATGCTTCATCTCTGCTAAAGAACATTAATTTAAAATTGTATTAATATCGGTAGAAAATTGAGAGGGAAACACAGTCCCAACCTTTGGAAATAAATTTCATTTAATTATAGTTCTGCATTTGCCACTAACTCATATGTTTCCATATCAATTTCTGTTCCTATTTCCACCACCAACAGTGGGTCACACATTCTGTGTGGTTTCGCTTTTGTTCTCATTGTAATTGTTCTCAAGTTTGAAGGTTTTAGTTTGGTTTTGTTGGTGCGTTGGTACCCTCCATTTGTCATGGTCTGTGGTCACCTTCAAGCACCGAAGTTTGGCAGACATTGATCTTGCCAACACTTTAAAATAAAGCTTCACAATATGTATGATTATTCTCACTGGCACGCAGTCTGACCCCCGGCATGCTCGTAGTCAGGACGGGAGGCATATTGCATTGAAGCATCATTAATCCGCGCATAATTTAAATAATTAACAATTGTTTGCTTTGTTCGGCTCATTATTGTCAGCTGCTGCTATTATGCTATGCTGCCGCTGCTGCCCGTCCGAGATGTTAATTAACCGTACATCAATGAGCTTAACACAAATAATTGAATTCGATTTGTTCGATTTAATCAACAAGTTTTGTTCGAGCATTTTCATACCATAATTAGTCAGCAAAGAATCGGCGGCCGTTCAAGCGGAAGTCCATAAAAAATAATCATGAAATTGTTTCAAGTGTGTGCCTCAACTAAGATAAGACTCTCTGTGTCCGCCCACTTGCTACATGCCACATGCCACAAGGGCCAGTCAAGTTGAAGGCTACACAAAAACTATAACAAAAATAATTTAATATAATTACAGAGTAGCCGCAAATAAATGTTGATACATGTGTGTAGAAATATCAAATTGATTGGAATAGGCATACGAAAACAATTGATTAGGAATCTGAAAAAGGGGGAAAATGGAGGGAATCTGATTGCCACATAAAGATATCTTTTTGCAAACCAAACCCTCAATTAAGGCTCAAAGTTCAGCCAACTTTAGCACACTATAAATCACATCTAGCCAAGCATTTGGTGTAGTTCGCATACGTTAATCGTAAAAAATGTAAATAAAAATAGCTAGTGAAAATGCTCACATTTGTCTGGTGATTTGGCTGGCGAACACCATTACCCAGTTTCCAGTTTACAAAAAAAGGCAGCAACGGGGCGAACAGAATTTATGACAATTGCATTTTGAATGCAGTCTAAATGGCAAATCCGAGATGTCTCGATCTGCCGCCTGGTGGTTGATTTATGGACGCTTAGCATTTAATATGTTGAAGCGGATCGGATCGGATTAAATCGGATCGGGCAGTCAGAGCACTTTATGGTGGCAATAAAAAATGTTTACGCCAAAATGTCTGCATAAAGATGTGAACGGGAAGAGGTGGCCGCCGCCGCATGCTTTTGTCGTTTCTGTCTAGCTAGTTGCATTTATTTTAATTAATTTAATTGGTTGCGCAGCTGACATCTAAGTTTGGTTAGGTGTTCTGTAGATTTTGTTATTTGTTTGGGGCCCCGTTATTAAGCCATCAGCAGAGGCGCAGAGGGAGAGACCTGGATACACATATGTACATACTCGTATATGCATTTTTGTTCTGTTGCATCATTTTGGAGCGGCGGCACCTTAGACAACCAACTGCCACACATTCTGCAACGCCCACAAAAAGTTGCTGTGGTTGCTGTTGTGGCTGTTGCTGCCACTGCCACTGCCACTGATGCAGCTGATGATGATGCCTAACGAGGTTCGGCCCAGGCTTCCTACTTTTGGCTTGCAACGCTGCAGCGTCTTAATTTATGGAATTTTTATATGTATATTTTTTTGTTGTATTTTTTTTTTTTTTTGGTTCTCGTACTTATTTTATTATCTGCTTTTCTGCAGCTGTTCCCAGCAATTACCAGAGCAGCGTCAGCATCACAAAAAAAAAGTCCCCTACATAGATGTTAGATTAACATGCACTTGCAACACACGACACGACTCTGTCCTCTCGGCCGACTCTTTCGGTAGAACAACAAACATTTGGTTGACCTTTTCATCGCCATCTCCAGCACCAGCACCAGCTCCAGCGCTGCTCTGCTCTGCTCTGTTGCTTGTTGCATGTTCCATGCTGCGCTGTGCTGTTTTTGCTCTCCCCCACTTTGGGGCATTGAAATGCAAATTTGGCAAAATAAAAGTTAATGGGCCATGTGAATGGCAAACGGGCGGGCGCGGAGTAGAAGAAACCCCATCGGGTGGGTGTGTGAGGGGGGGCACGGGCACTGCAATGGGAACTGACTTTTATTGCCCCCGATCGCAGTTCGTTGTTCGAATCTTTTGTTGCAACCCGCCCGATTTCAATCAACCGAGAGGTATGTACATACATACCAAAGAGTATTTCCAAAGAGTCACGTGCTCCAGACATGCTCCGGACTCCAGTGGGAGTCCCACCGCCAACCAAGGACAATGCCAAACACCAAAGGTGGTACTACTCCTTGAGGTTTAGTTGATCTCTCTTTGGGGGCTCTCGTTGGGGGGTCGATTTCCTTGACGACTTAATTATAATTCTCTAATTTCTTTCACTTGGCTGCAAATAGTCCCCATAAAACATACATACATACATATGTATGTAAGTACGAGTATGGCCTGCCTCTCGTGCACCACATTAACCCTATTTAACCCGAATTTATTGGCCCATAACCGCCGCCAGCAACCGCATGAAGATATTAACCTTTTAAATAACTTCCAAATTATATGTTACCCAACAATCTGTTGGCGCTGGCGTTGCGAATATCTCAAGTAGTTGCAAATTGTTCCACGAAAATTGCCAGAAAAATTACCAACAAAAATGTTAAAGAAAAAAAAAGCCGATGTGTGGTTTTGGGTTTTCAAATTACTAAAACATATGCACACATTTATTGCACATTTAAGTTGGAAAATTGTTTCATTTCCAATTGAAAAATCCCAATGAACTAATTTTCTAAATTCCCAGCTGTGGTTTGGGGATCCGGGTCCCAAAAGACATTGGCCATAGCGTACTTGCAGGCCAGAACTATGCAATTAAAAGAAGAGAGAGAAAGAGAAGGATGGGAGGGGAAACGGAAAGAGAAAGAGGCGCAGACATTGCGCATACGCCGCGTTGGACGCTGGTTGGGCAATTAGCGGAGGCTGTGAAGGAGAGGCACAGCCAGAGACGGAGGCAGAGGCGCTACTTTTGTAATCGCTGAAAATTTCGATTTAATTAGATTACCACACACACCACACATACACTTAGACCCAGATGGTTGGCTGGTTACCACCGCTATTGCTCGCCCCTTCTGCCTGCTGCTTTTCTGATGCTGCTGTACTTGCCGCTTGCTCAAGCGTCATTAATTTTTTGCTATTTGGTTTTTTTTTTGCTTGTTGGGATTTTCAACCCATTGCCAAAGACAATAAAAACCGCACAAAGATGCCACAAATATCGTAAAACCACAAAAATTGCATACATCCAAGCGTATAAGAAGAATAGCTCTGAACCGACGACCCACGGCTCAATTGCCGAAAGGCTTTGATCAACGCAGAGGCAACCAATGCATTGGTATGAGATCTGGCAAATCTGGCAAATTATTTCAATTAAAATTGCATTTGTAATGCAACAGTGGAATCCGACAGGGGAATGAACGAACTTGAAATACGCTTCCTGGTAAATTCCTTTAGCCCACAGCAGCACTGAAAGTTGCAATGGAACTGCCTAACAATAAAGCGGATGTACCCTCTACATCTTCTCTATATCTCTCTATCTAAAGAGCCATATCGAAACATGCTTTGGCCGCACAATTGGGCAATCATTCACACTTGAATCGTCAGCAGTCAGCAGTCAACAGATGGATAGGGCTCTGGCCCCGGCCTGCCATATATTGGCCATAATCAGTCGTCTCTAATCAGAGGCCAGCACAATGCAGAGTTGCGCCTCGTTGCATCCACAAATTCACAATTCGAATTGCCGAAAATTACCACAATTCCAGCCCAGCATCGACAGCAGAATGCATCGACAGAATGGGGGAAACCGAAACCTCTGTTTCTGTCTCTGTCTGTCTCTGCCTTCATTGCTGCTTTTGGCTCTGCTACTGCATCGGCGGCATTAGGTTGGATTTCGGAGGCTTCATCAAAGTCAAATACCAAACCGTGAATATTTTATGTTTGTCATTTGAAATTCAAAAGCGTGCCCGAACTGCAGTCATCCATCCATCCATCCATCCATCGAGTTGCCACCCGTCTCATTGAATCGTTTTCCATTTTGGGGTTTTCTTTCTTTTTCCGTGCGAAAATGAGCAGCTGCGGAGCAGGGGAATTAATATGCAGACGTAGGAGGAGTCCGATTGCTAGTGCTTTGATCCCTGGGATGGGTAGGGGGCGAAAAAGCGAAAATTAACATGTAAAACATGCTCGTTCTGCTGCGGACTTGGCGGCATTCAAGTGGCCAGCAGCCATTTGTCTACCGAGTGTCTGGGCCGGCTCTGGCTTTGCCTCTGCCTCTATTCTACCTCTACTTCTGGCTACTGCGCCTGCTTTTTCACAGAGGTTTTGTCCCATGAGGCAACCTGCTCTTTGGGCGTGTCTGTGCAACAGAAAAACGGGCCAACAAATAAAAAAGAAAGGAGAAGGTATAGTAGAGAAACAGAGGAATCGCTAGCGAAAAAGTCAAAAAGTTACAAGCGGCAAATTACACGCGTCTGGCTGGGAGTCGGTGTCCTGCCCCATCTACACCGCCTTCGTCTGTGTTTGTGCCACCTTTCGGCAGTTATCTGCTTGGCAGGCTCCAGACACTCGAAGGCTGGGAAAGTGGCAGCGTTTCCAGACATTCAGAGAGGAGCTGCAGCAGCAGCAGCTATAACTACAGCGCATCCTTTTAATTTTTGTTGCCTGCTTTAGGGCGATGGAAAGACTGGTGGAAGGAGACACCACTCCCTGAAAGGGGCGTTCCCGAAGGAAAGAAAACAAGTGAAAGTTTCATAGCAACTGTGAAAAAATAATGGTTATTTTGTGGCACCTTTTGGCAGAGTATTATTCTACAGTCCTTTTAGAAATGGTGGCTAAAATGTTGGCTAGAGCAAATATAACAAACAATCAAATAATATTGCTTCTGCCTAGATTTGGGGCATATTTTACGTGGCATGGCACAGATGCTGCCTGCTGCCAGCACTCTACTCCGCATATTGGATTGCCAGCTTAGGCCCGAACCTACATACATACATATGTATTCAGTCGGTGAATGGGGCAGGAGAAGAGGCACTTAAGTGTCTTTGATTATTTGCAATTTGTTCGATTATGGGGGAGGCACTCGCACGCACTCTGCCTGTGCCACTTCACTGGCTGAGGCAAAGCTCCTTCGATGATGATAATGATGATGATGATGAGAGGCTCGGTGGCAGACGTGTGGCAAGTTATGCAATAGTTTATGTTGCCATTGACAGCAAGTGTTGCCCCGAACCCAACAAATAAAAACCGAAAGGAAACAGTTTGCTGTGCCACTTGAAATCTGCCACTCAATAAAGAGTTTCCTCAGCAAATCCCATTTAAAGTTCACCAAACATTTGTGCCAAATCCGCAAAAAAAAAAATAAGAAAAATGACAGCGTCGTCGAATGACCATGATGAGTGTGTGTCCTTTGCCTGACTCTCACCCATATACCAATTTGACATACAAGAAGCTTAACTTGCTGTCCTTTCCGCATACGTAACTCTTGTTTTAGCTGAATGATATCCCAGGAAAATCTCATCGGATTTGCTTTACTGATTTATGTAAGTGAGTTTACATGTTTATGGAAATATAGTACGGTATTATCTATGTACTTACAAGCAGCATAAACGACTTGAAGGACATCATGTTGACTGCAGTTTTAGTTGAGTTTCTCGATGATTTTTTATTGTATCCACAAATCCGCGTGCTAAATAATTGAATTTTATATGGATTAGATTTCGGTTTTCTATGATTCGATTTTATTTAAGTTATTGAATTTGGCTCTGTTTTTTTCGCACAGCAAGTCCTATTTTAATTTAAATTTAAGTTTTTTGTTTGGTGTCAAAATACGGACTATATTTATGGACTCTCACTTTCCACTGGGGCGGGGGAGGCGTGTATGCGTATGTGTGTGTGCGGGTGGAAGGGGGAGCTGTTCCTTGTTTAAACTATTATTTTGTTGTATTATTTTAGTTGGTTTGTTATTAAATTGTAGATGTTTGTTGTATCCAAGACAACCGCACAAAGTACACGAACGTTTTGAATTAGGTTAGACAATGGAGATGCGCTGGCTTTTTATAATAAACGCTCGTGACGCTGGCCGAGGCGCTAGCAGAGACGCTGACAGTGGCAGAGAAGCTGGCGGAGATGGCAGCGGCTTGCCGCGTTGCCAACTGCACCTAAAAAGTAACGAAAAAGTGGTTTGAACAATTGAGGCAGGTCTCGCCGTCTAACTTCTAGATCATCTTCCTCTCTCTCTCTCTGTCTCTCTCTCTGTCTCTCTGTGGGTCTCTCTCTATGGAGATATAGGCTCTCTCAGAATGAGTCAACAATTGAGTGCTAGCCAATATCTCAGACGCTGCAAGAGGGAGTCTCACAGCAGCAGCCGCAGCAGCAGCAGCAAGCTGTGGCGGCTTTGGAGTGTTGAAAAAGCAAAAAAATGTTGCAGATCATCAACAGCAACAACAACAACAACAAGAGCAAACAATTGAACACGATCATGATGATCATTATGATGAACAAGTGAATAGACGATTCAAACGATGATGATTGTGATAATGATGATGAAGCGGATGTATAACAAGACCAAAGCCTGCTACGCCCCAAATGACTTCATTAAATCTTTTAGCGAAAAAAAAACAACAAAACTAAATTTGATATTTAAGTTTTTATGAGAGGCCCTCCCCTCGGGCACTGCAGCTGAAATCGAGACGGGGGACAAAATGTCACTGGGAATGTCAGATGAGCGTAGGGCGATGCCTATAGATACGGGCAATGATCCAACTTTCGGTTGAGAGCCCTTATATCCAGTTATTTTTATTTATTTATTTTTTTTTTTTTTTTTGGAAAACTCAGCAATACGTTGCTGAAGCAGAACTTTTGGTGGAAGAGAGGGCGAGAAAAACGTGATGCGGCTGCCAGTGAAAATTGCACAAGCTGCAGACGTGTTCATGTGGCGTCCCTATTTCCCAGTTTCCATTTGCCATGCGCCCCCCCGAAACCTCCCGCATCCTCCAACGGGGCCAAAATGCAATCTATGACGTGAGGCTCATGCCAAAAACCTAAAAACATAAACTTATCTATTGGCTGTTAATGTTGCCCCTCTGTGTGGATGGATGTATGTATGTATGTATCTGCCACTGTTGCACAAGGCTGGAGACGTGTACGACGTGTACTCTGGCTGCTCCTTCCTTCCGTCAGGCATCAGAGATCTCATCTCTTTCACCTCCCCTCAACCCACCCCAGCAACCAATTAACCTTGAAAATATGATATTTTTTGTGGTACATTTTCAGATTAAATAACAATTAAAAGCAATCTATTTTTGATGACTGATTTCAGTGCGGGTTTCTTCACATTTTTATCGACCACTTGTGAGGTGATGTTTGGTGATGTGCTGTGTCTGCGTGAGCGCGATATTAAAATTAGATATTGAATGGAAGGCAACAACAACCACCAAACAACCCGTGAATACCCTCACTGGATAGCCAACCGCCTGCCCGCTGCAGCCGCCAATGGACCCGCGCCAGGGTAGAGGGTAAGTCAAGCAATTGAACAACTTTTGGGTACTTTAAACTTTTTGATTTCCGTGACACTTGAGCCATCGGGCCACCGACCGACACACATGCGAACATCTCCGCATGAGGGGAACCCACTGTCAAAACTGTCTTAACAACATAATACCCGTTAACAATGGGGGCCAACAGCATTTCATACGCTCACTCCACACTCTACACTCTACATTGAATATTGATCATTTCTTTGAGCGCACTCGAAAGTAAGCTGAAGGGAGGTGAAGGGGGTTATTTGGAGTGCATTTTGTGGTAGCTGCGATTACGAAAAGATTTCAACTTAAAATGTAAATAATTAGAGCAATATGATGGGGCGAATTTTTATATAATACCAAGTGCAAGTAATGGGTTTTTGAAGATTTTTTCCCTTTTGATCCGCTTCCAACAATAACTTGACATCAATTGGTCAACATTTTTTGATGGCCAAACTTTTGTCATTGCTGCTGCTGCTCTGCTGGGTGCCACTTGCCGCTGTTGCAGTTGCTGTTTCCCTCTTCCCCTTCCTCTAATTTTCAATCATTTGTCAAAAAAGTCTTGAGTAATAAACTTTGGCAACGTTTGCCGCTTAATTCATCAAATGGCCACTCGAGAGAGCCGCCTCTAGCTAAAACGGAAGCAGAATCTATTCAGAATTCATTTTCATGCCAGCAACATTTTTTCCCCTTAGCTGTTGACATTTTAAAGCTGCTGCTGCTGCCGCTGCTGCTGTGCTTATTGAATTGTTGCAGACACAAAATCAAAGAAACAAAGATGAAAAAAAATTAACATTTAAAAGAACAGACTCAGAAGCATTTAAAATGGTTTTTTTTCCATCGAATTTGTTTAGCGCATTTCGTGCAACATTTCAGGCGAATCACCTGTTGAATGTTGAATGTTGCTGTTGCTGTTGTCGTTGCTGTTGCTGTAGAACCAACAGACATTCCACGAAGATGGGCGGCCGCACCTCTTTCCGAGCTAAAAATGAGTGAATTAGATAGAATAGTCGAACTATGTAATTGCCGCGTTTTATTGCCACCAGCAACAGTGGCTGATGTTGCTGTTGTTGCTGCCTCCGATGTTTCAGTTGCTGCCACCCTCTGCCCCTGCCTCTGCCTCTGCCTCTAGTCTCAATCTGGTGGGAAGTGGTCGGCGGTTTGGCGCTGGCACTGGCGTTGGCGTTGGCGCTTTCTGGACGCCAGACGCGTCGAGTGATTTGCATTTTTTTCGGCGAGGTGCGGAGTCTTGCAGATTTTTAGCATTTGCTATTTATAGACCAAATGTCTCGGACTTCTTCGCTTCTAGTTGATCTTCGGTGAAGGGGAATCAAATGTCGTTCGATTCGCTTGGTATTTCGCCAAGATCATATCTTTCTTTTTCAGCCAGCTCCTTTAATGGTTGCCGTGGAAAAGTTTTTTATGTATTATTTTTACAGTTTTTTGCAGCTAGAAAATTCACAGGAAATTTTTCACTCCATTTGATTGCTCTCATTATCTCGCTGCAGATTTGATTTGATATTTTTTTTTTATTTTTCTTTCTTTTTATTTTATGTTTTCTGTTGATTGCTCTCATTTTTTTTTCTGATAGGGGCTATGATAAGTTTTTTGTATTCCGCTCCCTGTAGCCCCGGCAATCCTGCAACTAAACTTGAGCTTTCCCTGTCACTTGCCACACTTGCCACCATTTTTCTTAATGGAAATTTCCATGCGCTTGGCTTTTCTTTAGACAAATTAAGCGAATTTTTACTCCGTTTCGCACCTTCCCGAAAACTTTGTTTGCTCCTTCCCACCCATTGTCAGAGCGAGCGATGATAGCCTTGGCGTCTTGAGTCGCTGCACTTCCGTTCATTGCACCCAAATTGCAAAAAAAAAAAGGAAAAAACAGGGACAGCAGCCAGAGAAAAGTTGTGGAAAAAACTTTGCACCCAACATAAATCACATTTTCAGCACACAGCACCCCCGACCCTCGACCACGCCCATGCCGAGTCGCATCAGAGTGTCGTGCGTGTGTGTGTGTATGTTTCAGGGCTGCACTCGCTGCATTTGCATATTCCAATTTCCCATTTAATCAATTTAGCCAGAGCATGCAAAGCAGAGAAGAGCTGCCGGGGGGCAGGAGACGGAGGAGAATGGAATCTCCGGTTGCCGCTAGACAATTACCCCCATTGTCTGCCATCGCTTCACATCATTTATCCTTGTTAATTTTTATTTAGCCGAGCCACGCAGAAATCTCAGCCAGGACCCTGAGCGATTGAGCCGTAACCTGCGTTGACGTTGTTTACGTGTTTACCAGTGCACCACTCACGCTGTGGCACACAGATGCTAGTGCGGATTCAGTGTCCCAGCGACTCGCTGTCAGTCAGAACTGCCAGCAGACGGCTAACAAGTTAAGCGAGGGCAAAGGATATCTGAATAAGACACGCAGTGGGGGGTCTCCGTAGCGGGCTGCTTAAAGAGTTAACCCAGGGGATTTGTGTTTGTGGAACCAATGAGAGGGATCTAAATGCGAGAACGATAACTTAAGACCGTATCGTGTGAATATATCTGGGAATACTGTTTCTGACTGCATTAAAAAATTCTACAATCCCCTGTAGACTTTTTCTTCTTTCGAAAACTTCTAATCAAAGTTTTTAGTAAATTCCCATCTAACGCAGAGTTTCCCTCATCTATTTTATTCCCCATTATTATCCGCTATAATTGCCTCTGACAGTGCGCCTCCTACCCCCACACCGCCCCGCCCCGCCCACTTTGTGATCACATTTATCAAAAACAGTCGACGACAACCTTTAGCCAAGTTTTGGCAAGACATTAGCCACGCCCACGACCCCGTCCAAAAGCGTCGCTCATTGCTTATCAATTGGAATGTGGGCCCACCAAAGTTGGCTCATAACTTGCTGCTCCTTCAAAAAAATAAAAGTGGCGAAAAAAAATCGAGTATCTAGCCGAAAAAGTAAAAAGAAAATCCAAGGCATTTAACTCCCAGTGACAGAGAGGCCCTCGCTCTGGCAGCCGACTAATGGTCAAAACTTATCGTCAAACTTAAATGGGATTTTATTATCGTCGCCAAAAACTTCTACTTAGTCGAATTCGATGCTCCCCACTCTCCTCTCTGCTCTCCAACACTCTGCGGGGCTTCACATGCCAGCACCAAGAATGGGCTTGGTCTGTGAGTTTTTTGGGGCTTGGAATATAATTTTCCTTCTATGATTATTCTTCTTCTGTTCTTTTTTTTTTTGCCACGACTAATGCGCTGATTTATATATAATACCATAATTATAATGCACTTGGTTCTCATGGCTTGGCTCACAGAATTCATAGGGTTTTTTGGGGTTTGGGGCCAGGCCTTCATAAATCTTGTCAAAACAGTGCATTCTTTAACGCTGGCTTCTGTTTTTAATTAACTCGCGAATTGCTTAATTATCAGGGGGGTGGAAAAAAAAGAATGCCACATGAATTGCAGAAGTGTGCAGCGATGTGAGCGACGTGTGCATCTCTTGGCCTGGTCGCGTTGGCAATTAATGTCAATCACGCTGAGAGAGTCGCCAAATTGGCAAGACAGGCCCCAGCCAGAGCCAGAGCCATTGCCAGAGTCTGGGTCTATAGAAGGAGTTCGTATATGAACGTAAGAAATCATTTTCCTGCCTGCTGAATGTCAAAACAATTAAATCATCCAAAAATTAGAAACCAAAAAGATCATGTTCTAAATTGTTTTTGCCCCTATCTGCGGGGGGTACTGTGGCCAACAGAAGTACCTGCACATACATGCATAAATAAATGTTAGCACTCCCTCAAGGCATATGTTTATCATACATTTTGTGAGATATTTATAAATTATTCAATAGTTTCGCTGAATGAAGTATTTAACACCTCGAAGAGCCAATAAATGTTTTCCATATATTTCCCTTTTTTTTTATTATTATTTATTTCTATTTTTATGAACTATAAAATGTTTACAGCAGGTCATAGACTTGCGCCGCTCACTGTGTTTGGCACTAAAAATTAGTTAATGAGCTCTGCATGAGTTCGGTTCGTCATGAATAACCGCAAAACCTTAAGCACCAGAAATACTCGTATCTGACAAACACAAAAATGCAAAGACAATGCTGCTGCTGCTGCTGCTGCTGCTGAGCAAATACAATTGCATTAATCGTAAATAGAATAATGGCAAAGGCAAAAGCAAAAGTTAAGGTGCGGAATCGGTGTCGGTGTGTCGGAAAGTGGCAAACAAATTGGCCAACAACGGCAAGAGTTGCTGCTGCTGCTGCTTTAGTGCTAGTGCTCGTGGAAGTATCTTAAAATTTGTTGTTTCTACAATTGCTGGCTGGCAACATTGAACTTTAAATGGTAGCATAGCCAAAGCCAGAGCAAGAGCAAAAGCCACATGTGATTGCGATTGCATTTCTTGCGTATAACTACGATGACATCGAACTCGTCTCGGGCCAAGTACGTCACGTTGCTTCAGCCCCAAGTCCCAGCCACTGCCCCATCCACTGGCCCCATCCACTGCCACTGCTGCTTCCCCATCTACTGCCACTGCCTGCTTCTGCTTCTGCCTCAGTCCCCCTGATGATAATGATGATGATGGCGCATAAACAATAAAAAAAAATCATTGCGATCGATTTTCCAAGCAGGCAAATTAATTAAAGTACAAGCGTTTTGAAGTACATACAAGCCATACAAAAATGCTGTTGAGAGCGAACAACACCAACACCTTGACCTTCGCTGATCAAGATAAATGAATGGCTGCTTGGACGAAGATCACAAGAAGAAATTTTTGCTACAATTTTAATTAATGTCGAAACACAAGCAGATCGAAGACGAAGACTCTCCACTCCCATCAACGGCCAGAGTCGGAAACAATGACCGAAAAAGGCCAAGCGGAAGCGAAAGGTCACTGGCAAGGCTTGAATAATTGTCTGTTGGGGAGGGAAGTCTGTGGTTGGTTGGTTGGTTGGTTGTGTGCGTTAAACGCACAATAGCGAAAACACTTAAAACTCAATTATGGATGGGAACGCAATGCTGCCCCGCGGCATACATATGTACATACGATACTGCGAAACGGAGTGTAGCGCATCTGCCATTTCGAAGGTGTTTTCCTCGTCCCATCGATTCGCATCCGACATGCCGACATTGCCTTGTGGAAAAGTTGTACAATTTGTCAGAGACCCCGACACATCCGTGCTCCGTCCATAAAACGCATTCTGAAATGTGATATTCAGTTAATTTATTGATTTAATTTTATTGCACATCGATTGAGCTCATTTGTTTACTTGGCTTGGCTTGCATTCATTATTTAATTGCTCTCCTTAACCTAAATTACATGATTCATGGGCTTAAATTATTTTGAGAACTGCTCGAATAGCCACGTAACTAATTCACATTTAAATTAGCATTGCACCAACAATCGAGATACCAATATTAAATATTTGATATTAAATTTAATAACGAGAAAGATTGTTCCGTCCGGAATGTGGTTGGGCACGCATTGAGAAATTATATTCTGAATATTGTGAAGATGAAGGGTTGAATGGATTGGCTGGGGCTGTAATATATCTGCTTGATTAGCTTTCTTAGTCTTGACTAATAAACCATTTCGCTTAATTGGCGAAAATCAATAGTCAAAGGGGGCAAGAAAACTAATATCATGTGGGAGTCAATGTCAAAGGCTCATTCTCGTGACAGAGAGCCTTCACTTAACTGGCTGTGTTTTGGGATGAATGGAATGAATGATCCTAGAACTAGCTTAGAACATAGATTGCACATTTGGCCGCTCTTCCTTTCGCCGCTCTCCGCTCTCCATCCAAATCCTGACTCAGTGCTTGGCTCCGCCCTCGAAGCTGACGTCCGCATGGAAGCCCGTATCGTCGGCATGGTAAATCACATTCTGGATGCGTCCGTCCGGCAGTAGAATATGGTATTGACCGCGCGTCACGCCATGGAAATCCCGATTCTGCTTGTGGCCAAAGTCGTTGCCGGTGTGGAAGTCACGTATGCGATAGCCAAAGGCATACTTCGAGGCGTACTGCTGCAGCTGCAGAAACAGAGAGAGAGAGAGAGAGAGAGAGAGGGAAACAAGTTGGTTATAAGTCGGTATGTATGTGTGTGGTGTGTCTGTGTGTATTGGATTGCTCAGTAAACCGATAAGTTGCATGCAGCATTTCGTGCGCATGCTGAAAAATATGCAGTGCAAAATGCATTAAGCACGCTGTCATGTACAGTGAAGACAGCGAACAGCAACAACTGGCAGATGCCATGCAATGCGAGGCGACATTTGCTGTGAAAACAAACAACAAACAATCGTTTAGAACTGTGAACACCCTCACTTAAAAAACTAGTCAGACGAAATGGAAAGATCTTTGTCTTTGATGAAACAAAATCGTAAAATGATTATCAATTAGATTCGAATTTGAATGAGTAGATCATCGGCATAGCTGTACCATTCCGCAGCTGCCATTCGAAGTTCCACTGCTCCGTCCTCCGTCTTCATTTAGGGTATTGCCATGCCCAACTTCGTAGCACAGAATTGGGAACGGGGCCTGATGATGATTGGAATTGGGATGGTGATGGGGGTGGGGGTAGGGAGGAGAAATGTCACTCACATGCCACATGCCACTGTTTGCTATGCATGTGATTGTAAATTGTGTATCGTGGCAGGAGGCGCGGCAGTAATGAAATTTGCAACAATATATTGTACAAATCTAGCGCCTTCCCCCCACGCCCCACGCCCCACACCCCTTTTGCCACTTTGCGATGCAGCGTTGATTTACCCCCCCCCCTACCCCACACTTTTTGTTGTTGTCGCCTACAACTTGGGTTTTGCCTTTTTATTGTAAGTATTCCCGCTGCAAGATGGAAACAAAATCTGACAGAGAGAGAGAGAGAGGGAGAGTGGACGAACGAGACGTGTTCGTGAGTGCGTGTGCGTTTCCGTTTCCGCTCATTGCCAGAACAGAACTCTCTCTGTCTCTGTCTCTCTGTCTCTGTCTCTCTCTGTGTCTCTGTCTCTCTCCTGTGCCTCTGTGTCGTGTTGGCGACAACTGTTGGTAACTTTTGCTACATGTTTCGGGCTGTTTCTGTGGTTTTTATGGCCTACAAAAGATTTCTACAACTGTGCGTGTGTGTGCGTGGATATAGGGGGGCGTGGCAAACTTTTTGATATGTTAATGAGTTGTAAATTAAGTTTAATTAAGTTACATTGTTGACTAGATTTTGCCTGAGCATCTCCTTTGCTGATGGTGGCGGGCAAATGTAATTCCGCCGGAAAGAACAAAAGTTTGTCGGAGCTTTTTGAAAGATTTATAGACCTGATTGCATAGGAGCACTTGGAGCTCCTTTGATTGGCATTTGTTTTTTGTGTGTTTTTTTGCCATAGATTATTTCTTCTTTTAAATTCAAATAAATCTCAGCATAACTCCACGCCAACATTTTTGCCTTCGCTTAAACATAATTAATAAATTCTCTGGTCCGGCGATTTGCCAACATTTGCGCCATCCAGCATTTTTTTCCATGCCTTTCTCTCATCATTCTCCTAATGGAATACAAAAAGAAAATATGCATTTTTCTGCTATCCAGCATTGTTGGCGCGGCGGGGGACTGGTAGGGGGGCAGCAGCAGCTTCATTAAGAGAATGCAAAAATGTTAATAGATTTTAACGTGCAAAGCAGCCGCCGCCTGCACTCCTCTTCCGCTGCATAAAAAATTAAGCGAATATCTGCGGAATATGCAAATTCAAGGGGGCAAACCAGAGCGGCACCCATGGCTCTGCAGTGGGGAATTTCATTACAAATTGATTTGATTAAAGTGAACATAATTACAATGCAGATGGAACATGTCCGAACAAGTGGGTGGGTGGACGTGATGGCCTCACACTCACACTCCCCACTCGTCCTGCGATGGGTCAACTTTTGCCCATCCATACAAAAATATGAAAGCCATCGAAGTGGAAACGGCATTAGAATCAAAATCAGTGCCAAAATCAGAGTCACGTGCCATTCCCCTGAACACAAAAATGCATCTGCCGTAAATCCAATGACGTTGCCCAATTTTTGTGCTTTGTCCACGAGTGTCCATTAGTTGGTAAGGATGTGGTAGACACACTCAGACTATTGCAACGAATGCGCAGATCAAGCATGCCAAGAATGGGAATTATAGTGTCTCTTAGCTCTGGATTTTTTGATGATTCGGAACAAATCATGAGTGAACCTTATGCAGGATTCTGCAGACTAATTACACTCGGCACTGGTATTTATAAAAAATCCTGCATCTTCGCAGCAGCTGGAAACATCAAGTGCCAAAGCCAGACGCTGCCCAGGGACTTCTTTAGTTTGCTGTTGCCTAAGCGATTTTGATTTATTCTTTTTTTTTTAAAAAAACGTGGAACCAGCCAGAGACTGCGAGACTTGTTGTCGTAGATCTTCAGCACGTGGCAACGGCTGTGGCACGTTGTCCAGCTCAGCGCATTCTTGTTTATTCCTTGTTTATTATGCCATATATAAAGAGATATACATACATATGTAGAGGTGTCCAAATGCGAAAAGTCAATGTCAACAGAAAGGAAAAAAATATGAAAAAAGAGCTCTTCCTTTTGGGGTGGGGTTAAAATTAGATAGCAAAGGAGGGGAGGGGCTGGTGAAGGTGGCTAGAATATTTGCATTTAACACGTTTCCTGTCGTTGGCTTTTTAGCGAATTGTGCGACGAGCGACGAGTCGAGTGCAAAATGCAATTTAAGGCAAAACTACGTGAGTTCGTTTAGTTCGGAGTTCGTTTAGTTCGGAGTGAGCGATTGGTCGTCATGGGCTGGGTGGGGATGTGGCAGGCTGGGCAGTGGGCTAAAAGCAATAAGCTGCCATTGGGCGGAACAACTTTCTTGGTAATTCAATGCGAATGCTCCCATCCCCATCCCCAGCCGCATCGTGCACGAGCTACGGCCAATTGAGTAGCAAAACAACAGGCCAGAGCTGCGACTGGCCCCATTAACGAGAAATGCCTTTGACGTTGGCACTTTTGCATCCTTTAATTTGCATATAATCAGCGTTATTACCGGCCTCTCGCCTTTGCCTCATCTTTTAGTCATTCAAATGTTTTCGTCTCTTGTGCCTGTGCTTGTGCCTGGGGCCAACCCAGCCCCCCGTTTGGGGTCTGGGACCGCGCAGGTTCTGAGGCTGCAGAAGAAAATCTAGATTTGGCTTTTGATTTATTTTTATTATTTAATTTTCTGTACTGTCAATCAGTTGGGCGGGAGATTGGCCCTCGGATTTCCTAGTATTTCTTTGAGATACTTGACAACCCTTTGAATGGGTTTATTCCCTTTAAGGCAACTGTTAATGGGGGGGATTTAGGGGTGTGCAAATCCAAGCCTTGCACTTGGGCAGCCCCTTCAATTAGCTCATGACTTGCACCCAGCCGGAAGGGCAGGGATACCAGGTATGCCACCCCATAACACTAATCCTTGTTGGATAACTGAGGATGCGTACTGCTGCTGCTGCTGCTGCTGGCCCCCCTGCTGCTGCTCTGCACTGAGTGGAGAATGTGGTGCGTTTATTATTCACACAATTCGTTTAAGCGCTGCAAACACCTCGTGCCACACCCGAAAACCTCAAGGGACACAGCAGGCAGGCAGGCTGGCAGATGGGTAGATTGGGAAGCGGGCAGGCACATTCAGGCACATCTGTGTGGCAAGTGTGGCAAGTGCAGCCCCAGTGCTGGCCCCAGTGCTGCATGCTGCTCATTTAAAATTGAACAAGTGTGGCACTGAGTTGGGGCTCGGACTGGATTTGAGGTTGTGTGGGTGTGGGGCAACAGCAGCAGCAGCAGCCACTGAGTCGAGGCAAATCGCATTTGAATGGAAATAAATGTTGTGTCCAAACAATTTACAAAAACCAATTTTACAATGTAATGCGTCCAGAGCTCCACTTGGATATGAGTGCCAGTGTGTGTGTGTGGGTGGGGGCACACCCACAGCACACCCACAGCCATCCTCCTCCTCCATGCTCTGGCCATGAGTGGAGCGAACGTGTTCAAAAGCGTTCGTCAGGCAAATGAATGTCCTGGGCTCGTTTATGCCACACGGCAGCAGCCATTGACACAATTGTCGCTGTGCAACTTTTGGCCACACAATTATGCGGGGCAAGGGGGCGGAGAGGGAAAAGCTGGTGCCCCAACGCTGATGATTAGACTACGAAATTGTTGTATAATTTACAGAGTGGGACACCGTCCAAGAGCGACAGCATAATTGTAGGAAAGCAAAGGAAGGGGCGGTTCGGGACGGGTCTGGGCGTGGAAAATTTTAAATGCAACCCACCCACAGTTTTTATGGCTCGCTTGTTAGCAATTTTCGTATCCAAGTTATGGCTAACAAGGGGGTACGTGTTGGTGTGGCTGGCGCAGAGGCATGCAGCAGGAGGCATCTCTAACCAAAATTGAGTTATCAGTTTGTTGGCTTTGCCCTGGCGATGCGCTCGGGCTGATTGCGTGACAGCTGCTGCTGCTGCTGCCCAAACCCATCCGCATCCGTCTCGAGAAGCACCAGCACGAGGATGAGGATGAGGATGCGAACTAGGAGCAGCAGCAGCAGCAGCAGCAGGAAAAAAATCCATCTAACGAAATGGCAGAGCAGCAGGAAAAATGTCAAACTACGTGATTTTTATGCGAATGTGACTGTCAATAGCACGTTGCCAACAGCATTGGAAATGGCAATGGGAATGGGAATCGGGGTATAGGAATGGGCGAATGGCAATGCGAATGTGAATGTGAATAGAACTAGCAATGGAGAATGCCATGCCCCAGCATACAGTTTTAGTTTTCATCCATTCTGCCACGGATTGCCACGCCCCAAGAGCAATATTAGCGGATAGCTGTAGTTGGGCGGATTCACGGACTGGCTGCGGTTTATTACGTCCAACGGATGAAGTGGAGCTAATTTAAAGCCAACCCCAGGTCGGATATGTGCTGAGGCAGCGACACCAACGAGGGTCAGCCATGGCAATGGTAATTCTGTATTTGAATAAAATACACTCAAAAGAACACGCCTCGAATGAGCAGAAATATTCAAAGAACAGCAGAAATCCAGACGCAGTCTGGAACTACACACAGAGCTTTCTTTTCCCATAAGATAAATAGTCAAAAAAATCATGGAAAAGCCGAAAATTGTAAACATTTTTCTCATGACTTCAAATGATTTTTTTGAGTGTATTTCTGAGGTCGCCCGACATCCCTTCTGTGCCATAACATATTCTTTAACCTTTAGTAGGGGCAACGGGGACCGACCCCATCAATTGCACGACTCTTTCCGTACAGGACAAAGGCCTTAAGAACTCGAGGACATTAGCCACACATGTTGGGTGCCCCAGTAGGGATCAAGGATGCAGCCTTAAGCTGTCCCCAGTCTCCCTTCCCGCCGCCGCCAATGTCAGCGTCGTAAAGTAGTTGAACATTTCGCTTTTGGGCGGGAAGGTTGGGTGGGGGTGGGGGAAAACCCTTTTTGTCGAGTGATTTTCAATGCCAAAACCGAACTAATAATCAAGACCCGACCCATATGCTGCCGCCCTCCAGCTCCAGCTCCAGCTCCATTAAATAAAACTTAAATCTGTGCTTAGGCAGGGACCCTTCACCCGTCCCCCCACGACCCAATCTCTTTTCAACACTTGCAAAAATATGTTGTGCTCCCACATTAACAAAAAGTGTGGAAAGGGGATAGGCAAAGGCAACACACAAACACAAACACAAACAAACATAAGCGAACAGCAAAAGGGTTGAAATAAAAATGAAATTAAAATATGTGAGTGGAAGCCGGGAGCCGGAAAATAAAGCACCTGCAGATGTTGAACCCCCGAGTCGAGTGCACACCCACAGCACACAGGACACAGGACAGAAGCATCAAGCATCCTTCATCCTTATACGTATGTAGCTCCATTTTCGGAGGGAGAGTGAGTGACGACCATTACCAACCATTTCGGCCACAATGAAATGACAAATTCCCCAAAAATCCTACCATGTTCGCACACGTTACCAGCAGTGGCAGAAGTGGCAGCAGTGGCAGTGCCTGTGGCAGTGGCAGTGGCAGGGAGCGCAAGAGCAGCAGCTGCTGTCAAACAAGTCCCATGACGAGCATTGCAACGGCATGTCGTTGGCAGGACGGACACCCACATCCGTACCCCACCCGTCCAAACCTCCACCTAAACTTGAGCCTAACAAGTGTCGTTTGCCTGTCAGAGATGGACAGCCAGGCAGATGGACAGATGGACAGGCAGGACAGGAGCTGGACAATGTCCAGGCGGCTGCCTTTCCCAGCCATGTCCTCGCCAACTCATCTCCCATCACGGTCATCAGGCGTCGTTTCTGGGGTTTTACAACAAGACCGAGCAACGAGGCTCAGCCGGGGGATGACGACAAGTACGACAGGGACAAGGCAAAAGCCTATTAAAAATCATGCTAAACGGCAGTAAAACAATGAGTGTGTGTGGTGTCTGGGGTGTGTGTGGGTGTGTGTTTCCCAGCACCAAGCACCAGACGGATCAGTACCAGGAATAGCAACAGGGAGCAGGAACAGTAGGCAGTAGCTGGAGCAGGAGCAGGAGCAGGATAAGTTGCAGGGCATTCCATTGCTGTTAGGATTGTTACTGGAATAGTCCTTGTTTACTGGATTGTCCTGCTTCATGCGTGCATTAACGCATTGCAGAGTGGAGTCCAAATGGCTGACAGATGCCCACAGCTGCACTCCTCCCACTCCCACCTCCCACCCCATGCACATTTCTGTCAAACAATAAATAGCCAATAAATCGAAAATGTAATAAGCTTTTTCACGAAATCGAATGGAAGTGCACAGAAAATAATCTACAAAATGAAATGAGAAAAACGTCAAAGGAAACTTGGCTCGAAAACAAATTTTAAGTAGATTTTGCGACAGCAAAATGAAGGGGCTGGCAGTGCAAATGGCATACTGCCGCTAAAATGTCATACAGCAGCTTTTGATGGTGTCAGGATTTTGGGGCTTGGCAATACCAAATTCAATTGGGAGAGGAGAGAACTGGAGGGTAAGCCAGCTGAAAGTTTCTGTCAAAAACATCAGAGAACTTTGCATTATTTTTGTTTATCACAAAAGGGGCAGATTTCCGCAGTCTTTCCGCTCTCCACTCTCCTCTGTGTTATTCCCATTCTTAGGGTATTTATTCGACCAAACTGTCAGCTCTTTAATGTATCAAACGAAACTGATAATCATGATGGCCATGAAATGTCCGACGTCAGTTTGCTAGCTGACCTTTTTCCCCTTTCCCTTCAGTAGTATTCTATAATTCAGAAGAAACAGAACAAATTCTCGTACAAAAACTAAATTTTTCAGATATTTTTCTTTTTCCGGAAAAATCGTTAAAAATTTAAAAAAAAATAAAATTCTTTCGTGAAGTCTTTCGGACATATCTTTCGTGTAAAAGCAGCCTTCCTTGAAACTAATTCGCAATAATGTCCATAATGAAGAAGGTGAAACAATTGCCACTGCGGAGCATGGCCGCCTTCTACGCGAAGAGCGGGCTGCGGGCGGTGGTGCGCCACACCTGCAGCGATGTCAAGGCCAACACGAAGGGCGTCGTTTTGGGGCTGTACCTGAAGGAGGATGCCAGCAAGGACCCGAAACTGACGCCCACCGGCCAGAAGGTGGATGGGCGCGTGAACGGCAAGCTGGCGGAGCTGATCTGCGAGACGAAGCTGGACGGACGCCTGGGCCGGGGCAAGGTCTTCAACGGCGTCGATCCCGAGTTCAGTTCGGTGGCTGTGGTGGGCCTGGGCGTCGAGGGTATTGCCTTCAACGAGCTGGAGATGCTGGACGAGGGCATGGAGAATGTGCGCATTGCGGCGGGCATTGGGGCGCGCTCCCTGCACGGCGAGAGCGTGGGCAACATCTCAGTGGACGGCATGGACTATGCGGAGCAGGCGGCCGAGGGCGCTGCCCTGGCCGTTTGGCGCTTCCCGGACAATCTGGCCGCCAAGAATATGCCACTGATACCGACGCTCAGTCTGTACGACTCGGCGGACACCGACGGCTGGACGCGCGGCATCTTCAAGGCGGATGCCCAGAATCTGGCCCGACGCCTCAGCGATGCCCCAGCGAACTGCATGACGCCGACCCTGTTCGCCCAGGCCACTGTGGACGCCCTGTGCCCCTGCGGCATCACCGTCGAGGTGCGCACCATGGACTGGATCGAGATGAACCGGCTGAATGCCTTTCTGATGATCGCCAAGGGCAGCTGTGAGCCACCGGTGATGCTGGAGATTAGCTACTGCGGCGCTGCGCCCGAGGAGAAGCCAATCCTGTTCGTGGGCAAGGGCCTCACCTTCAACTCGGGAGCCATCAATCTGCGTAAGTGCAGGGGCATGGACGAGTACCGCGGCTGCATGTCCGGAGCGGCCGCCTGCGTGGGCATGATGCGCGCCTGTGCCGCCCTCTCGCTGCCCATCAATGTGACGTGCGTGATCCCGCTGTGCGAGAATATGCCCTCGGGCATGTCCTGCAAGCCCGGCGACGTTGTCCGCCTGCTCAACGGCAAGTCGATGGCCATCCGTGACCTGGACAGGGCCGGCGTCGTGGTGATGTCCGACGCCCTGCTCTACGGACAGAGCACCTACAATCCGCGTCTCGTCGCGGACGTGGCCACCCTCGAACAGGGCGTGAAGAAGGCCTTTGGCGGCGGCGCCACCGGTGTCTTCTCCAACTCCCACTACATCTGGAAGCAGTTCCAGCGTGCCGGCTCCCTCACCGGCGATCGCATGTGGCGCCTGCCCCTGTGGCAGTACTATCGGCGGCAGGTCACCGACGAACTGGGCTACGATCTGAGCAACAATGGGCGTGGCATCGCCTGCTCCTGCCTCTCGGCGGCGATACTACACGAACTGGTGCCCTGCGCCGACTGGGTGCACCTGGACACACGGGGCACGGGACTGCTCAGCCAATACGGACTGATACCGTACCTGACGGCCAAGCGGATGACGGGCCGTCCCACACGCACAATGGTCCAGTTTTTGTATCAAATGGCGTGCCCGGACCTCAAGTGAGGCGACGCGTCGCTCGATCGTCGTAGGGGAATGTTCGGATGTTTGGTTTTCTATAAGTTTTCGGAGTAAATTGCATTTTTTGGACTAGACTTTGGAGTCGACTTTAAGATAATATTCCCATGCCATGCCAACCATGCGCCCACCTATCCACCTATCCTTAGTGAATGCTTTTCCCTGTCTATCTTTGGGATAGACTTTTTCCATGCCCTTTTGGCTGGCTGCGCCACAAAGACGACGCCCCATTGCCCACGACTACACATTGTGGCGGGGGCGGGGGCGGGGGTTGGCTTGCCATTGAAATGCGGATAAATTAAATGCACACTCGCCACTCCCCCCTTTGCCGCAGAAAGAAACCCACCCAGACGGGGGTAAAGAAAACTTCAATTCTCCAGTGAAAGAAAAATGTTAATTCCGACGCATGTCGGAGTATCTGCTGCTGCTGCTGCTGCTGCTGCTGGTTCTGCCTCTGAGGAAAAGTGCATTTCCTTAGCTCAAGTGCTTGAGGTTTCAGCCCCATGAATGGAGTACGTATCTATAGCGTATCTGGATGCTATATATCTATATCAATTGCTCCAGACAGCAGCCGAAATCAATCCAATGGGAAACCGTAGTGGCAGGGGGGCGACTGCTGTCTGCCGTTGTAATGAAGGACGAAGTGGCTGCTGTGGCGACTACCTGGATGGGGGCGCAGGCCAGACGGATGCCAGAATTGGCCCGGAGATGGGCAGTAGTGTGGGTGGGTGGGTGGTTGGTTGGTTGGCTCGTTCGTGTGCCTGGCTAACGACATTGAAAATGCTTGTCGAACTTGAAAATTATTCGATTAAGTGCATTACCGGCGAGACGATATGGCTCGAACGGAGTTGCACACAAGAACCCATTCCCCTGGTGCATGCCGCAGGGGACATTCCATTGTTGTGACTGCCACCGCATTGTCGTGTGTCTGTGTGTGTGTGTGTGGGGGCAGGCGCTCAGTCTTATTTATGTTGATTGTGTTTTTGCCTATGCCAATCAATGGAGCTGTCCAATTGCTTTCAGAGCAGAGCGACAATCCTTTTGTGGCACGCCCCAAGGTGTGCTTTAATTTAATGCAACGGAAGAGTGCGACAAGGGAAATGTGTACCGTAATGGGAGGGGGGAGATGGTATCGTATCCACTTTCCAATATTAAATATTCATTTTATTCGATGCATTGGATCCATCTGCGAGCCTAAACCAAAACGGAAATGGGCCCCGGAACCGATCCAATGTTCAGAACTCACCGATTTGTCCTCCTGACTGCTCACAAAGTGCAGCCCATTCGCACCCTTTGCCGCATCCAGCTCCGCCGGAAGCGAGGTGGCCACGAGTCCCCCACCCCCCTGGTAATGATGCTGCTGCGGCTGCTGCTGCTGCTGCTGCTGCTGATGATGATAGTTCGTGACCGTGGGATGATGCACCACATGCTCCACTGTGGTCACGGGCTGCTGCTCATCATCCCGGACGCCCTCGTACCCATGCGACAGTCCATGGCCGGGGGTGTAGTCAATGAAGGAGCTGGGGGTCGGCAGCTTGGGCGCCACGCTGCTGGGAACGGCGGGCAGCAGCTCCTTCACATCGTTGTTGCCCGACTCGATGATCGGCACGTACTGCTTCGTCTTGGCCATGCCAATCAGTCGACCCTGGTGCACGCCCAGGGAGCCACCGCCCAGATCCGCCAGCGTCTTGAGGGTGGGCACTGGAGCCGGCGCCTGCACCTGGCCGGGATGGAAGAGTATCGGTGCCGTGCTGTCCTGTGGACGATCCACCATCAGCTGCTTGCCCTGGCGCTGCAGCTTGGCCTGCATCTCCTTGGCCAGGAGGTAGGTGAGGCCGTGGATCTGGTCATCGGGCGACTTGCCAATGAGCGTCGACAGCTGCTGGAACTCGGGCAGCTGCTTGTAGTGCTCCTTGATGCTGTCCGCCTGCGCGTGGTACTCGATCTTGATCAGCGGCGAGGCCGAGGGACTTGGCTCGTGTTGGATCTGGTATTGGTACGGCTCCAGGGCCTTGCCGTAGATGGGCATGTTCTCCTCCGCATGATGGTACTCCTCCTGCAGGGGGTCTGGCTTGGAGGGCCGAAACTGTGGCCCTATCGACACGTCTATCGATTGGGTCGGAGCAGGGGCGGGCGCCAGCTCTGCTGTGTATGTGTGATGGTGAACCACTTCCTCAGCCTGCGGCAGCGCCTCTTGCACCACAATCGGGTGCTGGGCAATGTTCGATGGCTGGGCAGCGTAGACTTGGGCGTAGTGCGGCTTGTAGTGGATGTACCGCAGCTGCTCGACCACCGGGCACGGGCTGGATGTGCACCTGGACGGGGGCTGGGACTGGCACTGGCACTGGGACTGGCACTGGCAGTGGCGATGCCTCCACCAGCTTGGTCTGCACTGTGCCGGGGATGTACTTCATGTAGGAGCTGGGCTTGAGGCCGTAGCCCGAGAGCGCGGAGAGGGGCTTTATCTTGTAGTGTTCGTACTCGGATTTCTGGGCGGGCAGATACTTGATGTACGCCTTGCCGCCATGCCCCTCCTTCAGCAGCTGGCTGATCGCCTTCTGCACCTCGTGGGGCAGTCCACTCAACGACTTTTTGCTCTTCCCATGGCCGCTACTCGGTGGCGCCTCCTTGTACACATACATTCGCTTGGTCTCCGCTGTCGACTCGCCACTGAGGATCGCATTGTCATCCACACGGGCAGTGGAAGTGGGAGTGGCCTTGGTGGGGTTCTGCGGCTGGCTCTGGCTCTGACTCTGGGTTATGTTGCTCCTCTCTGCTCTGGGGGTCTCCATGGTGAGGAGTGTGGGCGTGGCCGGGAGCTGCTTTCCAGAGCGTTGTGCCAGGGCCTGTGGCAGCGCTGCCTTGGCATCGGCCAGCTCGAACTTGAACATGTGCGGGGAGGAACCGGGAGCCGATCGCTTCGTACGCTTTGTCTTGCGTATGCGCACCTGGAAGCCGTGCTTTTGCGGCGCCTGCGACTTGCGTAATGGCTCCGTCCTGGTGGACTGACTCTGCAGATCCAGGATCCTGGCCTCTCGAATCAGCTGCGCTGTAATGGGGTCCGGTTCGCGGGCATCGGTCTCCTGGAAGGGAATCATCAGCGCCTTGAAGTCAGCTGGCTGCTGTTGCTGCTGCTGCTCGCCAATGATGGAGCGTCGCTGGCGTCGTGGCTTGCGCTTGGAACGCTGACTCTTTGTGGCTTTGGTGGTGATGGCTGGCGGCGCACTCTCTGTGGTGGGCGTCTCCTTGAGCGCCCTGGCATAGTGCTGCCGCAGCAGCTGCTTCACCTCGTCACTGGGTTCGACGGCGTCGCTGATCTCGAAACGCAGCATTCGCGGTGCGCTGGGCAGCCGGCGCTCCTCCCGCTTGGTGCGCGAGTGCTGGAGCTGCCCGGACCGATCCTCGGACTGCTGCTCGTTGTACTGATTGAAGGCCGCCAGGTAGCTGTCGTCTGAGGGATTGTCGATGTGCCGCATGCTGCGCAGATTCCGCTGATCAAAGTAGCGTTGCATGTCCTACAGGATCACCAAAATAGAACGACGATTAGTATTTTGAGGGGGCAAAGATAGTGGGCGGTGGGGTGGCTGGGAGTTACCTCATAGCTGGAGAAGGTTGCCAGGGAGGGTAGGCGTTGCCAGGTGTCCATGGCCTTGGCCATGCTCAGGCCTGCTGCCAACACAAGCAGCACCACAAGCTGCAAAAACACAAAAGATCCATGAAAAAGCATGAAAAACAAAAAAAAAAACATCTGTGAAGGATCGGCGACACATAAATAATCCAAATATGTCCACCCAGTTGATACCCACCTCACCCACCTACAGCGGCGGTCAACACTTTCACTTTCCATCCAGTCCAGCCACTGCCACTGCCACAGCGACTGCAACTGACTCTGCAACTGGCCTCTGAGCGATTCTCAGTTGGGACTTGCATCTCCCGCGCCATAAAACGAGTTGCGCACGCGCCTTGCCACTGCAGCTGGGAGTCTCATTGTCTCTCTCTGTCTCTCTCTCTCTCTCTCTGTCTCTCTGTCTCTGTTTATTCATGCAACCACTTTCACGTCAACAGGTTGAACTTGTGCCGTGGCTTGGCTTGGCTTGTTGGCTTTTATGGCCATTAAACTTATTGCCTCGCCACAGTCTTCTCTGTTTGAATTCAATTGCATTTCTCTTGCACCTCTCGCGCTTTATGTAAGACCAATTATGGTATTGGGGTGGATTGGTTCGGGCTCTGATGCAATGCAGCGTATCGTATCCATTGGCTTACATTTCGCTGCGATGTGCACAGAGATAATGGGATATTATAGCAAGCTAATGATCGAAGATTGCTAAAGAAATCAGGGAGCAAAGATGCTCAAGGATTTGTGTGGTATAGCACGCAACAAGAGGGGCTTATCTTGGGTGCTTTTCTTTCCACTTTTCTAGCCTAAAAACTATACTATATATTTCCCCACTGGCTGCAATCAATAGCAAAACTTTTCGGTTCTCCTGTGCTAGTTGGCAGCCAGGTAATTCAATTCCCTTCACCAGAATGGCTTCATTTGTGATCCATACAGGCAGGGGTCCGGCTTCAGCCCTGGCTTATCTCGTGCCCCACAGCAGCAGCAGAAGCAGCAGCAACAGGAGCAGCAGCCATTTAGCAGCCAAGCCAAAAGCCATCCACATCCTCCAGCTAAGGCTAAAGCTAAATCCAAATGAACTGTCAACGGTCGTTAAAAATGCAACCGCGTAAACATTTAACGGCCGTTAAAACTGCGCCCGAGTGAATTTTTATGAACTGTACTCAGCCAAGCAGCCAGCCACCAGCCAGGCAAGGCCAGCCAAGGCCCTTTACCCTCCTCCACCACTGCCACCAGCAGCCTCCTTGTGAGCCTACGCGAGCGAGAGAGAGAGTGGGATAAAAATGTGGCACGTTGCTGTGGCTGACGCCCCACTTGTTGGTTGGTTGAGCCGAGAACTGCAGTGCATCCCCCCATGCTCGCCCCCATTCTCATTCTGCTTCTGATTCTGCTTCTCCGTCTGCACATCTAACCCCTGCCATGCCACTGTGTGTGGTGCATAAAATTTTATGTGTTTTCTATTTAACACTTTGGCATGGTCTGGGTTGGTGGGGGGGTGGGCGAGTGACTGCAGGGAGAGGTGTTCGGTTTTATTTCACTGTGGCGAATGTCTTTTCATTTTGGAGCGGGACACGCGCAAGAATCGTTTTAAAATTCAATAGAAAACTCCAATAAAAGATTGTTGCTATTTTCCCTGCTCTTGCTGCTGCTGCTGCTGCTCGGCTGTTCGGGCGCATTTTATGGCTTTAAAAGTGCTCGGCAAACTAGTTAACAATTTTTTTATGACACGCCAGGGAAAAGTTCTCCCCCATAAAGCTTCTCTATCTAACACTCTTTGGGTGTTCCTTCAGTTTCCAAATGGAAATTCAATATTTGCCGAATGTTGCCAAACAAAAAAAAAACAACAAACAATTCTCTCGAATTTAATTGAAATTTATTGCTGCATTTTATTTCTTGCAGCGCAGGAATAAATGAAAACAAATAATTTGTAACCGAGACACATTGTATTGCCAGAGATCAGTACAGTATAAGCGTACTCCACCCCTCCCCCACTAGTAGCATTTTTCTTTAGAATTTTTCTTGCTGCTTTTCTTAGCATCCGGGAACAGGTGGCTTCATTAACTGTCTGTAATTGCTGTTTGGCCACAAGTTTTGTATAATTGTTGGCCGCAATATGCGCTTACAGTTTCCTTCTCTGCTGCTGCTGCTGGTGCTGCTGTTGTTGCATGCAACAAAGCGGAAAAACGTTGCACACTTTTGGTACGGTCCAGACCGAGACCAAAACCAACAACCAGCAAGACCAAGACCAAGTCCAAGTCAAGACACAAGGCCAGGAAAATGGAGCTGGCAAAAAGGCACACAGCTTGAGCTAATTGTTGGCTCGCATGCGAGGATGGGTGGGTGGGAGTGAGTGACTGGGCGGGGGTGGTGTGGCCTGCGGGCAGTTGCAATTGCAATTGCAGTGGCACTGGCAGTGGCGTTAAGAACCAGTTTGGTGTTTTCGTCTACAGCACAAGTTCCAAGCAGCCAGAGTCAAGTTCAATGCACATGCAGTAAAAGAGTGAAAAAGCGGAAGGAGTGGGAAGCAGCGGGGCGCAGTGTCAGAAGTGGAACTTCCTTGGCCACAACGCAAAACCATTGCACTCAAAAGAAATGCCTGAAATGGCAGCAAAAACTTTTTTCCATCCACTTAAATTGCAAATTTCCCGTTTCGATGGCAAATGTGTTTTCCTTTCTGTCTGGCCAGTGGGGATACGGTTTCCAATTGCGATTCCCCCAACCACAACTACAGCGCCGAATGTTAGATAATCGTTAAATGGAAGGAAGGCTTTCCATATAGCGTCGGGGTCATAAAATCATAAAATCCCACTTCAATGGCCAGATACGTTTTCTTTTTCGTTTTCGTTTTGTATTTGTATTTCGTTCCGCACTTACCCATCACTGAAGCACCATCGGAGCCACCACATTGCGTAACATGCATATTTTCAAATCAAATCAAATGCAGCGGAAAACATTTGATAATATTCGCATTCGACTGGCAATTATTATGAAATGGTAATTAAACGAGAAATTTAAAGTGCTGCGCTGGGGGAAAGGTCGGCTGCTAATTGAAGTTCAAGTGGAGCAAAAGGGAAAACAAAAGCGAAAATAAATGCGAATTATTCACGAAATGTGAGTGCGAAGAGACGTGAGTGTGATAAGCATTATGCGCGGAATGGTATGGCTGGGTGTGGGTGTGAGATCGTCCATTTCCTGGCCAGGGCCAGGGCATGGGCAGACTCTCACTTCAATGGCAGACAATTTTTCTCGCTTTATTTTACTCTCTTTTTGGTTGGAAATGTTTCCGCCGTGGCCCCTGTTGTTTTCGCGCCTCAGTTGAGTTGGCAGTTGTCTGTTATTTATATTAAAATTTCTGAATCTGTATGATGAGCTGACCTCCGCGGGTGCGACTGCTGCTTGGACTTACCATTAAGGTGGGGCCAGCATCAGAGATGGCCATTTTCCCCCTCAGTTGCGTCGCCGGAAGTTCAAACGGGGCGAATGAGGCGTCGCCTGCACGCTGCACGCTGTTGCAGCACGAAATGTGGCAGCTTAATTTGCAATTGTTGTTCAATTTCTTTCCTTGTCTCTTTCCTCAGGCTGATATTTATTCAGTGCTGATATTTTTTTGATGCAAATTATTATTGTCTTTTTATGCCGAGGAGTTTTTCCGCATTTATTGAGCTTGTCGAATGTCTTTCAATTGTTGCTCTAATTGCTTATTAAATTTCATTTGAATCAAAGACAAAAACTACAGAATATATTTAGCAATTTTTGTTGCACATTTCAATAGCCTCGAATCAATTTATATTCATTTAAGATTCTTTTTGGGCAGCACTTCTAAATAATTGATTGGACAGGACAGGCTCTTTGGAAATTATATTTTTATAGTTCGCATGCAAAAAAAATAAACGCAAACAGAAACTTTTGTCTATTCAATTTAACTTTTGCTTTTGCTTTAGCTTTGAGCTTTGTTTAAACTTGCTTCCGCTCGTTGTCGTAGTCGTAGTGCCTCGTCCTTACTCCTCGTTTTTCATTTATTTAATGCGACTTTTAATTTGAGTTGAGTTTTCGTTGGTTTTTCCTGCTACTGCTGCTTTTGTATGCTTTTATTTTCGGCTGTGGAAAATTTGTAGAGGGAAAACCGCACGCTTGCGCGCTGCTGTTGCAACTGTGCCTCGAATTTTCGCGCCACTTGAGTTTTGTTTGTGTTCGGCGGGCCGTTCGCCGTTTTTCCCAGCGACATCCAGCCAGTTTGTTGTACCCCCCCCCCCTGCATTTTCCCGACCGAGTCAGCTTTTGGCCAGTTGCAGTTGCAGACAGGCTGTGTGTGTGGGGCTGGATGTGGGGCTGTTGCATTTCTCATATTTCTCTTTACACTGGAGACTGTTTGTTTTTTGTGTGGCGGCTGGTATAATGAGCAGGCGATTCCATTTGTAATACTCATAAGGCAGACCGCCAATTGGCATGAGATTAAAAAATATTGGAAATTATTCTCCCCACAGACCGATTGCCGATTACAATCTGAGGATAAACCGCTTATAAATGATTACTCTGCACAATGCATTCTGCTCTCGATCCTAGCCCAGAGAGAGCATTCCATTGTCGATCATCTTTAGTGGTTAGTTTTTCCCCCTGTGCTCTTCGCGTTTTGCTGTTTGTTTGTCGCTTTGAGCAGCTTTTGTGGCCATGGCTTTGGCCACGGCACCAGACGCCAACTTTTGACCATCAACTTGTGCACAATATATTTGTTGTTGTGGCTCATGACAAAAATGCTCAAGTTTTTTACGATGTTATGGCCAGTTTTGTTGTTGTTGTTTTTCTGTATTTTGTGTTAATTCAAGTTGATTATCTTGTGCGTGCGGCTGAGGCTGAGCCCGGCTGCCGTCATGCCGTTGTATAATTAATTTATTAATGGCAAACGAGCGAAATGCACTTCCACGCATTTCCTATGAGCGGCGCACAGCCTGTGCTGGGATTATGTGATTTATAGGAAGAATTTGGCCAACTGCTAGACAATCCCCTCAGAGGGGTGGCTGGTGTGGCGGGGCAGTGTGAAAGTTCAACTGAAGATGTTATGCAACAGGCTGCAGCAGCCAGCAGCCAGCAGCCAGCCAGCCCAGCCACCACAGTCGAGGGACTGCCACGCACGCGCCGCCGCTGATGAAGTAGCTGACAAATTATTTTTATTGCCACCAATCCAAGACAGAGAGCTGCCATGGTTGAGGTTGAAGCTGGAAGCTGCGCTTTAGGCTGTTGCTTGAGCAGAGACTGGGGCTGGGGCTGGGCCTGGGGCTGGAGCTGTGACTGGGGCTGAAGGTAGAGCTATCTATTC